ACCTCGTGATTGATCAAATATGCAAATCAGCATTCAGCCCAGCCAGGGGCATACCATTTAAGACCGTGGGCGTTCCCCACAAAGTTGTTCAACCTTTTGTTGGGAAAATCCAAGAAGTTCAGTGCAAGATCCAACCCGAACAGGGGCATCTTCAGCAAAACTGTGAGCGTTCCTCATGAAGTTGTTCAACTTTTTGTTGAGCAAACCAAGACATTAAGATAAATTCAGCCCAGTCAGGGGCATCCTCTTCAGAATTCATGGGCGTAACCATGAAACCATTTCAGCAAAACTATGATTTCCAAGCAAAGACAGTGGGCGTACCCTGTCAATCCCCTTACTATCATCCTTTCGGTGATAGTCGAACCTGGTCAGTTCAACCCAGCCTGCATCCTTTTGGTGTTGGTAAACTTCATATTTGTGTTGTCCTATCATCCTTTTGGTGATAGCGACCTGTGTGTTGTGATTCGCTCCATCATCCTTTTGGTGGTGGGTCTGGCATTTCGTCGATGTCAGATTGTGTGATATTTCTTTTATGTTTTCGCTCTATCATCCTTTTGGTGGTGGGTCTGGCATCTCGTCGATGTCAGATTGCGCGATATTTTATTTGTGTTTACGCTCCATCATCCTTTTGGTGGTGGGTCTGGCATTTCGTCGTTGTCAGATTGCGCGATATTTTATTTGTGTTTCGCTCTGCCATCCTTTTGGTGGTGGGTCTGGCATTTCGTCGATGTCAGATTGTGCGATATTTTGTTTGTGTTTTCGCTCTGCCATCCTTTTGGTGGTAGGTCTGACATTTCGTCGATGTCAGATTGTGCGATCGTTTATTTGTGTTTCGCTCCGTCATCCTTTTGGTGGGGGGTCTATCATGGTCATTAATAATAGATTGTGCGATGTGTTCATTTGTGTTTTCGCTCTGCCATCCTTTTGGTGGTAGGTCTGACATTTCGTCGATGTCAGATTGTGCGATCGTTTATTTGTGTTTCGCTCCGTCATCCTTTGGTGGTGGGTCTGACATTTCGTCGATGTCAGATTGTGCGATCGTTTATTTGTGTTTCGCTCCGTCATCTTTTTGGTGGGGGGTCTATCATGGTCATTAATGATAGATTGTGCGAATCTTTTTGTTTGTTTTCGCTCCATCATCCTTTTGGTGGTGGGTCTGGCATTTCGTCGATGTCAGATTGTGCGATATTTTATTTGTGTTTTCGCTCCATCATCCGTTTGGTGGTGGGTCTGGCATTTCGTCGATGTCAGATTGCGCGATATTTTATTTGTGTTTTCGCTCCATCATCCTTTTGGTGGTGGGTCTGGCATTTCGTCGATGTCAGATTGCGCGATATTTTATTTGTGTTTCGCTCTGCCATCCTTTTGGTGGTGGGTCTGGCATTTCGTCGATGTCAGATTGTGCGATATTTTGTTTGTGTTTTCGCTCTGCCATCCTTTTGGTGGTAGGTCTGACATTTTGTCGATGTCAGATTGTGCGATCCTTTATTTGTGTTTCGCTCCGTCATCCTTTTGGTGGGGGGTCTATCATGGTCATTAATGATAGATTGTGCGATGTGTTCATTTATGTTTTCGCTCTGCCATCCTTTTGGTGGTAGGTCTGACATTTCGTCGATGTCAGATTGTGCGATCGTTTATTTGTGTTTCGCTCCGTCATCCTTTTGGTAGGGGGTCTATCATGGTCATTAATGATAGATTGTGCAATGTGTTCATTTGTGTTTTCGCTCCATCATCCTTTTGGTGGTGGGTCTGACATTTCGTCGATGTCAGATTGTGCGATCGTTTATTTGTGTTTCGCTCCGTCATCCTTTTGGTGGGGGGTCTATCATGGTCATTAATGATGGATTGTGCGAATTTTGTTTATCTCGCTCCGTCATCCTTTTGGTGGGGGATCTATCATGGTCATTAGTGATAGATTGTGCGATAGTGTTTTGCTTTGCCACCCTCTTGGTGGTAGTAGCTGTGTGTGTTTCATCCCATCATCCTTTTGGTGATGACGACTTGTGCCAGTTATTTACAGCTTACTCAGAGGTTTACATCATCCAGCGTTTTCAACTCTCGAGCATCTCTTTCTTTCGGACAAATTCAGGGTCTTTTTTTATATCTAATAGACTTCTACCTCAGGAATATGAACGCCAATGCAGTTCATTCTTCTAGGGTTAAGTCGATTAGATAGGGGCATCTGTCATACCCTAAATTTGTCCTACCCTTTTTGTATTTATTTTCGCATTTATCGTTCCATGCCATTTAGACACGTGTCATCTCGCAATTGGTTGATTTTTCAAAAATTTATCTTTTGACCAATCAAAGTGTGACATGTGGCCTAAAAGGGCATTTTTGTGAATTTTATTTCTTTTCTTAATTTCATAAACCCTTTTCTTCCTTTTTTTTAAAAAAAAAGGGGTATTATTCATAACAATATTTTATGCACTTATATAACTCTTTTATTTGTAAATATCATTTTTATTCTTTTAGCTTGTTTTACATATACATTTATTAATATCTTTTATTTTTTTATATTTTATATTTAATTTTATTTTTTTAAAAAAATAGTTATTAGTTTAGTTTAAATTAATCTATTCATTTGTTAATATTTATTTATGTATTTTGTTAATATTCTTTTTTTACTTAATTATGTTAGTTAGTATTTTAATTATTAATTTACATTGTTAATCTTTGTTTATTATTAATTAATTAACTAAATTGCTGAAAAAATTGTAAAAAAAAGAAGAAGCAAGTTGGGAGTGAAAGATGGCCCAACGGTGGGAGGCCCATGTACGGCCCGTTAGGTCTGCTGAGGGGGGTCCTTAAAGGGGAGGTCACTCTTAATGGAAACCCTAAGAATGGAGGGAATCTACTGTTCATTGGACCTAAAACGGCTGCCCCAAAATTGAACCCTAAGATTGGAATTCAATGTTCATTCCCCTCGTCATCGAAAATCAGCCGCCGAAAAACCCTACCCTCCCTCTTCTCAAACCCTAGCCGCCGGTGCATCTTCCCCATCCCCCAAACCTTCACCGTCGTCACAACCTTAACCACAATAGTGTCCTCATTTCCGCGAAACCCCCTTCCTTAAACAATCCGCAAACCTCTTCCCTCACCAGAAAACCCTAAATCGCCAACTTCTAATCCCCTCTGAAACCCCTTCAACACCGGTTCGATGTTCAAACTGCGGCGATGAGAGCTATTTCAGAGTTATCCCGTGAAGATGCATTGGTGAAACCCTCACAGCGGTCCTCCATCCATCATACGAAGTCAAGAATTCATCAAAAAGACGGGTGGTGATTGCAACTAGGACAAGGTTTCTTCTGGTTCAAAAGCTTAGCTGTGGAGGCAACTCATGAGTCCCCGTCAAATACGAGCGTCTGTGCGGTAATTTCAGAGACATTTCGTTATGCTGAGATCTTGTTTTAAGGATATCATGATGTTAGCTTTAAGCCAGGTAGTGAGCTATGAACATTTTGTTCAGAACTTTTATGTTTGCATTGCATATTTTCATAGTTGAACTGATGGAAAATATACGAAACAGTGTTGTTTTGCGTTTCTAGAACAGATGTGTATTTCTCTAAATTTTTGTTAATGCTGTACTAAACTCAGACTTGTACTGAAGGTACATGGTTATTTCAGAAACTTCTATTTGTTTCGGTTTTGCTATTTGGTATTTCGCAGGGATTGATTGTGCTCCTGTCATAAGGAACATATTGGTATATTCTGGTTTAAAGTTTGATTCACCGCTTCATGGTAAAGGTGTTCGTATGTAAGATTTAGGTGAGCATTTCACATGATTAATGTCTGTCATGTTATATGCTAGTACATTGCTGTTATGTAATATGTCGTTCTGGCGTAAAATACATTGTTGTTTGATGAGGGTACTGTCAATAGATTGAATTTTAAGTTTTAGTTTATGAGATCCTGATAGTACTGATGCAGTTTGTCCTGATATTCTGTGGATATAGTTGTATTTCTACTGTTTGGAAATGTGCTACTGTGGTAATGTTTTGGAGTTAGTGATTTGGTATGAGGTTTATGTTCATTATTTGTTTGCAAGTATTTTCAAAGGTAGATAAGCAGGTAGCAGTATGATTGTGAATATATTTTCATCTCTATCCAATTAGAATCAGGGTGGTGTTTGTTTATTTTTTTTCAATAATCTATTTGAGTTTGTTAATCATTTATCAGTGTTTGAGGAATTGTTGGCCATAGATTTTCAGTATTGTGTAATACTTGGTGCTGATTGGTTAGAACTAATATGACTGAGATAGGTATCAACTCCATAATACCTTATTGCTGGTGCTGTTCCATGTCTTAGTATCTATACATATCGCCATGAATCTCTGTCATCTCATTTAAACATGATATCAAATTATCAATTTAAGGCTCTTGATATCACTTTGAATTTTGAAGCCACACTTTTTATGGCACTGGTATAATCTGCTACTAACATTCCCCATGTTATATAAGTCAAGTGTATATCCTGTTTTATATTTGAAGTGAAGCAGGGGAACCTTACGGATGGCGGCAATCTCGCGAAGGGATATTCTGTTGGTCTGTTTATATTCTGTTTTATATTTCTTCTGTGCAGATTGCAAAGTCGCCGCAATTCGCCGTGAACACTAAAGCTACGACTAGCTAGGATGTGACATCCCCAGCTAACATGGCTTTCTTCAGCGGCATAACAACAATTTTCCGAAGGAAGCAACAATAAGGCATCAGGAACCTGTTGCGACTTCCTCAAATATCAGCAACACAAAGCAAAACATCTCGTATGATTCTCAACAACCAACGCGAACAGAATCTAAAGCGATAACAGCAACGACAAGGTTCAGCGCAATATTTCCGCATCAGTAGCAGATTCGCGACTGCACTTCAAAAGCAAACTCGACGCAGCCGGCATTTGCGGGTTTACTCCTATTCTCCTCCAGACAACGGTTTTATGACCTAGGTAGTTGATTGAATTGAAGCTGAAAAAATCTTCCTGATCTACTTTGCTTGTGGTGGTGATGATGGCAACTGCGGGTGTAGCACCTGCTTCTGGATTAAGAGATGTAAATGCAGCAAGTTCAGTAATTGCTGCTGATAGGTTACCTGATGAGATTCTTGGCATGAGAATTAAGGATGATAAGGAAATGGAAGCAAGTGTGGTAGATGGAAATAGTACTGAAGCAGGACATGTAATTGTCACTACTATTGGTGGTAAAAATGGCCAGCCAAAGCAGACAATAAGTTACATGGCTGAGCGTGCTGTTGGACAAGGATCATATTCACGTTAACATTGCCATATTGGTAGTTACGTGAGATATCAAGAGTGAAATGTCAAAGTTGGCATGAAGAGTCCTGCAGATTTTTGGAATTGGTTAGAAAAGCAATGTTCATTCATTTTAATGTTAATTAATTAGCTTAGTGTTTAATTACAATTGTTTTTAGATTTTAATTTTCACTAGCTAGTTAACAATTTACCTCAAATTAATTTAGTATGCTTTTTTTTTCAAATTGGAAGATTTTACTAAATATACTTATTAATTTTGAACACTTCAAGACAGTATTTTAAACAAAGTCCCAAGTCTTTTTTTTTACGATACTTGTTAAACTCAATGTTTTCTTTTAAAAAATAAAAGTCTTTTTATTAAATAGCATTTTTTAAAGGAATTCTCAAATGTTTTCTAAATAAAATCTTAGATTATCTTCGAACGTATTCTTAAAATATGACTAATCATTTTTCTTAGATTCAATTTATTTTTTAAAATTTATTTTTTCAAGCAAGTCATGAAAAATTAAGTTCTTGAAGTCTAGCACTTCTTGAATTTTTGGACAAACATTATTGGGGTGTACACCTTAAATAAATACGTCGTTCGACTTTTCATTTTAGTACGCGATTTAGAACAAAACAATATCATAGGAATCTAGCATTCTGTGTGATATTTTCTTTGTTCATTCCAACATTTTTCAAATAAAAATGGTGTTATTGAAATCTAGCATTTCGGTAATACCCCGATTATTTAGTTGTGGGGCCGATGTCTCATTTATTAAATAATTGATATTTTCAAATCCTATCCCGCGTTCTCACTTCTCACACGTTCACAAATTATTTTCATACCCCATTTCGCTTCAAATCCTTTTTACAATATTTTTCTCGATCAAACTTCGAAAGAAGGAGATTCTTGGAATCTAGCATTCCTTGAATCTTCGAGTGAATAATTCTCGAGGCACGCTCTTGAGTTGTTATTCACTCAACCTTTCGACTCTTTCAAATTCAAACATTTTCCAACATTCTCCTAAGTCGAGCGCTCGTACGCATTCACAACCATCGACATTTTTGCACACACATTCACAACTCCTCGTGGTTTCGATATTAGGAGCACCCTCAGGGACTAATATCGTTTCTCACAATCTTAACCCTTGACACGTCGTCAAGTCGGTTTCATTTTCGATCAAATCCTCGACACGTCGTCGAGCCACTTCCAAAACAACTTCTTTTTGGCCTCGCATGCCATTCTTCGATTCAACCCTTTCACAAACATTTTTAAAACTTACGAAAGAAAGATATTCTTAGAATCTAGCATTCTTTGAATATTTGAATGAGTGACTCTCGAGGCGCGCCCTCGAGTTGTTATTAATTTATTCTTTCGATTTCAAAACATCCAACTCTTTATCTTCAATTTATTCAGTCAATTTCCGAAAGAATTGAGTTCTTGGAATCTCGCATTCTTTGCATTCTTGAGTGGCAAGCTCTCGAGGCACGCTCTTGAGTTGCTTGTCAGTCACCCTTTCGCCTCCTTCTCAAAACTTTCAACTCATTCAACCTCATCTTTCGTGGTTGTTACCACGAACTACGGACGCTCTGATTCTTTATTCATTCTTGAGTATAAGATACATAGGCACAAGATTGCGATAATCTTGGCGAGCACAATCTCCTCCATCTTCCATTTCCCCCATTCTTTCCCGCAGTCGAACTACGACGCTCTGATTTCTCATTCTCGTCCGAATGAGCATACGTAGGCACAAGGGCCCCAATCCTTGGCGAGCACCCTATCCTCTAACCACCCATCTCTCCTTAGCGTCTTTAACCTCTGAACCTACTAATTCTACCTTTATCAGCGAGAAGAAAAGCAAATAAACCTAGACAACACTCCCCACAATTACCTTAAGAGGTTCCCGTCGAGTACGACGGACGTGAGGGGTGCTAATACCTTCCCCTCACGTAACCGACTCCCGAACCCGGAACATGGTTGCGACATCCCTGTTCCTATCCTTTCGTTTTTAAGAGGTTTTCTTGATATTTTCCTTTCCCGTTTATTCGGAATAAATAAAGTTCGGTGGCGACTCTGTCGAACCGCATTTCCGCGCCTTTTGCGCGAGGGTCGTTTTCTCCGAAATATCTCCGTGATTTTTCGAGTTGCGACACCAAGACTTCGCCATCTTGTGCCTACGTACTCTCAATAGGCATGAGAGATCAGAGCTCACGTAGTTCGGGAAACTACGGTTTATTTCCTGTTTTGAAAGAAGTGTTTTTTATTGTGTTTGCGATTTCAACTGCACTAGAGACTATGACCTAAGAGTGAATGCGTCGCATGTCACCCAAAGGGTACCATACTAAACATCCAGACTGTGGAAAAGAAACTCTCCCACAACCCTTTCTCAGATAGCTTAAGGCTCGTAGTGTACAAAAGAAATCATTCATGATTACTGTATCTTAAACTGTTTTGAGATGAGAAGAGAACAGGTCCAACTAGGAGGGAGACTATCAAGTCCTACTGTTATCATGCCATGGATTCATCCTATGGTTGAGGTTTGAACAGGGAACTCCTAGATGTTGTCATGCATAGGTTTCAACCTAAAAGTCTATCATCAAATCCTTATCAAAGGAAATGAGAGTCCTAAGGGATCATGTCAATGATACACCAAAACAGACAAAGCATCAGCTTGACGGTAAAATGCATGCAATGCAATTGAGGGAGGAAATGTGTGTGGGGCTTCAGCCTCCACAAGCTCATCTCAACCTCAAGCCAATCATGAAATAGCAGTAATCATACTGAAAAATAAACAACATGCTATCAAGCAATAAACAGTAAACTGCAATCATACAGAAGAAAATGAAATAAAATGCCATCAGGCAAACAAACCACATGGGCAAGGGAGCTGGGCTCTACCGAATACCCGCAAGCAAAGCCACGCAATAACAATACAAGCAGAGGGAGAAACTCAACCTCTAATGCAAACATGCTCCTAGACTGAACTTATTCTAGATGGACTTATTCTAATGCAACAGACAAATCAAGCAAAACACACAATACAGAAAAGAAAAACAAAAGAAAGCCTCAGCTCCTCCAGCAGCAACTAGGTCTTCAGACTTCAATCGTCAATTGCTTTCCAGGTATCAACCCTGCAACATGAGTTTCAACTCATCTTCTCCCTTAAGCTTCAGCTTCTTTGACCAACTCCACCTTCAGGCTTCACCATCTTCAGGGATCTTCAAGTATCAACTTGATCTTCATGCTCTTCAAGCTTCAGTTGGAATGGCACTCTTCAAGGATTCATCCTCTTCAATACTCTCCAATGAAGTCTTCATCTTCATGCTCAGGCTCTGACAGCTCTCAAGACAAATCAAACAGAGAAAAATCACTACTGGATAAGATGGGGGATATTGAACTGCTTATCTGATCACCAAAGATGACCTATAAGGGTTCAATATCAAGTGAAAGGTTCCCTCAAAAGATCTACCTCCTGGGTATCACACTAATCCCTCCAAAGGAGAGAGGTGTAAACCCTGGAAGGACTTTGAATCACAGGGAGGAATGGATGTGAAGGATACTATCCATGTTTGAGAAAGAAATTATCTACACCTAAGCTCTTCCTAACCCTATCCCTAAAACAAAACAAAAAGAAGAAGAACAAGCTCCTCAAGCTCCTCCATGCCTCCTTCAATCTTCTAGTATGCTCCACCATGCTCCACAATGAGATGCTAAGCTCCTCAAACCAAAGGGAAACTCCAAAGCAAAGAAAACTAAACAAAACTTGCCCTAAAGGCCACACAAACAATCATTCAATTCAAAAATCAACCAAAAATAGTATATTATTCTATTAATTCCTAATATAGATGCTAGGGGACCCTAAATAACTACCCTTAAGTCCCATATATTCCCCATAGACTAAATTGCCCTATAAAACCTAAATCTAAAATTGTTATTGACCTATACTAAAGTTTTAATCAAATTCTATACTACCTAGAACTACCTAATTAAAACTACCCTAAAAATTGTCACAAAATTATGAAATTAAATCAGGGGGAACCTAAACCATACATCTAATCATCCTAAAAATATTGAATTAAAAATCCTAAGGGAACTACCCTAATTAAATTCTACAAATTAGTATACCAACTAAAAGAATTAAAAAAGCTATTAAAAGTAAAAATGTGCAAAAAATATAAAACTGAAATAAAATGGCTATTTTATGATTTTATATTTTTTTAGACAGAAAATGGAAAATGGGAAAAAAAGTTTCATTAAAAAATATGCATTTTTTATTTTGTTATGAATTTTTGAAGTTTAAAGAAATTTGGAGAAGAAATAATATGAGAAATGGATGAGGGGTGCAAGGAGTATGAATATGCAGTTGATTTGGATGATGCGCCCAGAAGGGGGGTGCGCCTAGCATGGCGCCTGGGCCCAGTGGTATTCAGAAAAACAAATTAAAAAAACAAAAGGAAAAAGAAAAAACTGCGGTGTAAATAGAAGGAAATCATAGTGCAAAACGGGACTGGGCTTGGACAGGGGGTGGGGAGATCAAATTCGCGTGAGGCCCAGCCAGCATTAGTCAAAATGCAGCGTTTTGACGCTGCAGCTCCCTCCACAATTTCGTGCGTGAATTCTGGCCGCAGGATCGGCCTCCAAGTCAAAGAGTCAAGGCGTGATCGTACGGTCCCCATGTGTCTTCTTCCTTGGTCCATTAGGGTTTCAAAACTCCATGAAAAAGCAAGCTTCATGCATGAACTTTATCCTCTTCGTGTGACCTCCATACTCCACCAAATTGCATGATCCAAGAACCAAACTTGGCTAGAATTTTACGTAGAATACAAACATGCCCTTGGATTCCATTGAAACAAACTACATCATGCAAACCGAACAGTATAACTCCATGGATCCAAATTTTCTTCAATTTTCAACCATTACAAAACTCAACAATCTTTATATATAATTAATCCTTATGCCATGCTGATTAAAACCAACCAAAATTCGTGCATTATCATCCATTAAATAGTGTGTTCTACCTC